ACGTTCTTTTCCTTCGGCTTCGCGGTCAAAACACGGAGATGACGCAGGCAACGTAACGGGGTCGTTACTCGGCAAAAGCGATATATCGTGTGTTATATATTTATATAAATATAGAGAAGAATCTTTATATTAATAAACATAGAAAGCAATATAGAATATTATTATTAGCGATTGCGTTTGTTGCTTTTAAAGTTATTGAAAGCCCTAGGTTCGTTATTGGCGTCATTTTGATCCAAATCTTTATAGATTTTCTAACCGTTTTCCAATTTCAAAAACATTTTGATTTATTAATTCCAGGTCTCGATCCTGTAATTTTTTTTATTTTAACAAACCGTCTTCTCTACCATCTCTCGAGGCTGAGTAATCGGAAGATCTTGCCATCGCGATCCCATCTTTTTATTTTCGTATACTTTAATGCAATGTGGATTTTTATACCGGATTTCCATATCTGGCGCCTAACAATTTTATCCAAAACCCCTCAGAACCTTTCGTCGGCCAAACCACCCTGCGTGAAGGAAAAAAAATAAAAATTGCGCTGATAGAATTCGTTTGTGTGAGACATCGACAAAGCTTCAGGATTTGCATCGTCCTACGATCGTGGGCGGTCACCCGACGTTGTTTTGATATTGATCTCCAGGATAGGACAGCGTCGTCGTCTAAGCATTCTAATGGCAAGGGATCGGGATTCTGCGCGCTGCGAGGCGCACGTGCTCCTAATGATTTTAGTGTGTACCCCATGGTATACCCTCTCCGGCAATGTATAGTCATAGGCGGGCATGCATAGCCGCGTATCGTATCCGCATTACCGGGGCGCGATGTAATATGTCCCGGAGAAGCCCGAGGGAGTGAGGGTGGCCAAGGAAAGGGGGGGAGAAACCCCCCGCAATGGTCTTGCGGGATTCTTAATGGCGAGGAGCCTCTAAGGTAACACTACGGCTATTAAACGCAGACTCTACCACTTCGTCTTCTCTTCCAACATCCCTCCCCCTTCCCTCATGTACGTATCCCTCTTTACCATCTTCCACAACGCCCGATAATTTCACTATACGGTCGAAATTTCGGTAAGAAGAATCTCGTAGAAGAATCTGCGCTTGCAGAGAGAATTTAGTTTCCATAACATATTTTCGCAAATCTATTTGCTCCCGATTAATCTGATTTTATGTGAATCCAAAATTATGCACGATCCAAGATTATGCAGAATTAAGTTATATCGCACGGTTAACAGCATATAATATATGGAAAACTATAATTTTGAATATATATTTACTCCTTATTGTTATGTGATGTATAAGTGACATAATTATAAATAATAATATAATCAAAATAATAGAATAATTATAAATAAAAAAATGTAAAACAAAAAATATATATACTTTTTTATATTCCTGTATTAAAATAATTTTAGTACGTATCATTTTTTTCTAAACTTTATGTATGTGAACAGATATAACTAAAGGTAGCTACAGCTATTGAAATAGTAATAAAAAAATATTTTGTAAAATTGTCTAATCAATTAACAATTTTCATATTGTATAAAAAAAAATTGTATAAGATAGATTGAGATTTTTCACACCAAATTAATCAATTTTGCAAATAAATCATGAGACTCGTATATTATGGACCAAATTCGCGAAAAAATTGCGAAAAGGAAGAAATTGTGGATAATACAAGCACGTGAATAAAATTAAAATCACATGTGAAGTATCGTTCGTAAAGGAACGAGGGACTTGAGAGCATAGTGGCGGATCGCTACGGGGGTGAGTAACGAAAATGTAAGCCCGGATCAAACGCGCTCATCCTCTTTAGCGTCGGCGTTTGACGCGACCGCTGAAATTTTTACTTCGTTCGATTTGGCCTTTCGGTGAGATTCTCTCCCCGTCCTCTGATTGGTGGACCCTGACCACGCCCTGCACGTAAGGGTGACTCGTTCGCTCGAGCACTATCAACCCTTATGTATGCCCGATGCGAGCACACTTATGTATGCCGATACGCATACATACGTATGCGCGCGTTTGTTTGCATATATGGGCACGTATGTGTGTAGGACCGCAGCTTCACGGGTACATACGCGAATATATACGGCCAATACATAGACATATAGGGACCGTGTAGTATACCGGGTGGGGTTTCGTTCAGGAGACGCTCAGTGGGCTTTCGATACGACACGGTCGATCGAACGGCTCGCATTTTCGATATGGGGGGTGTTATCTCGCGGGAAGATAAGCGCGCACCACAGGATGCCTGAAAAATATTTCGACACCGTTTTGCCGGTGGCTGTATGTACTTATATACATATACGCAATGTTTTTTTGCACACGAAAACTGGGTTTGTGTCGCAAGAATTTTCGATAGAACAGAATTTCATGACGAATTATTGCATTTTTATGTCTATTATTAATTAATTCCGATCCATTTTAATGTAAAAAATTTCTATAATCATAACCAAAGAAAAATTGTGTCTCTCCCACATGTAACGCGATTATATTATATTTATATTATAGTAAAATAATTAAAATAAGTCATAATATGACAAATCTTTTAATTATTATGTTAAGGATTTAATTTGTCTTGTGTATGATAAATAAATTTATACATATTTAATATATATCTATTACAATTATAATTTTTTACATATGTACGGATAAATAAATTAATTAATTAAAAAATGCCAATGATATAATGATGTAATACAATATTTGTATAAATAAATATAATATGTGTAATATTTTTCTAAAAAATTATCTCTAGATCAAATTTAAGAGACATTCACAGAATAAAAGAGAGAAAGGATTTCTGAAGTATCTTGTATTGTTATTTGAAACAGAAAAGAAGATTCTCATGTAATGTAACAAATCAAATTCCATTATTCTCAATTTTGGTTACACTAAAGTAGTAAACCGCTATGATTCGTAGATACAACGTCTCATAAACGGCTCAAACAATAATAATGATGTTAATGTACAAGCAATGGTAATAGACATATTGAACGGATGCTTGATGACATCGCATTGTGTTGGCATATGTATTTTGAGACAGATATCAGACGCGAATGAATTTCGCATGCAAGAATGAGAAGCCGTGGATCCAGATCGCATGACTAAATTTTCGAATATTTCCGCTCTCGATGTGTTTGTCATGCTAAATTTAGTCTCTCTCTCTCTCTCTCTCAACTTGTATCGCCCAATAATATCTCGTTGGTGACATAATCTAACTTCATATAAGGATACGCATGCGCTAGTCTTCATTACTCCAATACGCAGCAACGAATGATGTCTTACTTGTTTGTGACCGTATGGATAGACCTTTATATCGTCAAACCATTGATAATTGATTGATAATCTAATCCAGGATTGAAGAAGAAGCACCTGTATCAATCTGTATTGTCATACTCGTAAGAGTCATATCGTTGTATCATCAAAACAGCAAATAGCAGTGTCAAATCGCAAAAAAATATCAATTTTACCAAATATTGCGTGAGAAACACAATGGGACGTGTGGCTGTGGTATGTAATTAGGCACGAATTACAAAATAAAGAATAAAGATTCCTTGCATGTGTCTACTATTAATTATTTTTAACAGAAATTTTCACAAACTTGAAAATTTGCAAGTCACGCTATCTCGTTTTTAGGTAACAGGTGGAAACAAAGGTATCGGCTATGCAATTGTCAGATCTCTCTGTCAACAATTCGATGGGACTGTTTACTTAACGGCCCGCGATATCACTCGCGGTTTGACTGCTGTCAACGAATTGGAGAAGCAAGATTTGAAACCGAAATTCCATCAATTGGATATCACCGATGACGAGAGTGTCACAAAATTCCGGGATTACTTGAAGAATACATATGATGGTTTGGATGTATTAATCAACAATGCTGCTATAGCATTTAAAGTAATTAAAATATTCAAACTTGATACAGTTTTTAAACTCGATTTTAAAGAATAATTTGTCTATTTTATTCTACTTTTTTCTTTTCTTATTAGTTAAAAAAATATGTGCATCTTTTATATATTTTTATTTTTTTAATATCAATAAGATAAGACATCTCATAAAATATAGATGACTTGTATCGCCCAATAATATCTCGTTGGTGACTTAGGCCGGTATTCATAGTCCGTTCTTATATCCAAGATCGTCTTAAGTGAATAATTTGTCTATTTTATTCTTCTTTTTTCTTTTCTTTTTAGTTAAAAAAATATGTGCATCTTTTATATATTTTTATTTTTTTAATATCAATAAGATAAGACATCTCATAAAATATAGATTTTTGATAAAATTCTATTCTAATATTTATATATGCAGAATAATAGAGAAGTTATATAAATAAAATGTGTTATTATATTTAGAAAAGAACATGTGTGTACACAAAACTAATAAATAATAGATATATATGTTAACATTTAATTATATATTATAGACTGATGCAACAGAACCTTTTGGGATTCAAGCTGAAGAAACAATACGAGTAAATTATTTCAGCTTACGTAGAGTGTGTACTGCACTTTATCCGTTACTTAGACCACATGCCCGAGTGGTCCATGTTTCCAGTAGTGCTGGACGTCTTTGCAACATTACTGGCAATACATTGAAAGAGAGATTATCTGATCCAAATCTGACTGAAGTAGAATTAGATAAAATTATGCACGAATTTGTCAAGTAAGTAATTATATAATTTCAATCATTTGTATATAGGAATTTATGTTAGTTCAAAAAACTTTTTAAAATTTATATATTTGCTACTTTTTAAATTTATAAATTTATATATATATATCTCCATTTCTAGTGCTGCAAAATCTAATACACATGTGCAAGCTGGTTGGTCAAATTCAGCATATGTAGCAAGTAAAATCGGAGTATCTGCTTTAGCTGGTATTCATCAATCTACGTTTAATGCGGATTCCCGAAAAGATATTGCAGTGAATGCAGTACATCCTGGTTATGTAGATACAGATATGACTAGTCATAAAGGACCTTTGACACCAGATGAAGGAGCTGTAGCACCTGTTTACTGTGCTTTATTACCAGAAAATACAGAGATAAAGGGAAAATATATCTGGTATGATATGACCTTATCAAACTGGAAATAATAAGATAAATATATAAATCCTGATCGTATGCTAATTATTTTTCTAAAGTATAACACACACAAATGAATAAATAAATGTGATTAATTATATAAACACACATTATTTAAAGATTTTAAAACAGCTATTTGTTACAAAATTTAATTCTGAACAGTTGAATAAAGATTCATATATATATATTAAAATTGTATTGGATAATACATTATTATTCACATTTTCCAAAATTGTGTGAAAAATGTTAAATGATTTTCTATCTTATTTTTACATAGAATGTAAAACATGTATGCATTAATTAGAGGAAAGTAAAAAGATTTTCTTCATATAAATGATATTTAATATAACTATAAACTATCTTGCTTGAGCATTCATTGCTTCTCTGCGTGCTGCTTCAGTTAAAAGATGGATATCTACTTCGTCTACTGGAAGTTGTACGTATCGCACCACAGATCCACGGATAAAGCAATTTTTTACCGATAACTGAAATTTAATGTATGATTTAGTTATATTTGGTTATATATATTATATAGATAATTTTAATAACTACTTGAATAGCATGTAAAAAAAATCGATTTTGTATGTACCATATGAGGATATTTCTCAGAATCTGTAACGCTAATATCGGCCAATTTTATGTTCAGGTACTGATCGACAGAATATAATGTTCCACAAATACTAAAACAAAAAACGTTAAGTTATTGGTTTTCATTGTGATTTGAAATTTCATTTTACTACTGCATAATATATATACTTTACCTGAGATCATTTTTTAATTCAACAACTACGTCCTTTCCGATCAAGGACTTAAAGAAGGAATAGAATAACTAAAATTAAAAATACATTCAATTATATTTAATATAATAAAAAACGACACATAGAAGAAAAAGCCGAATGTGATATATACTTGCTATATCATATGACGCATTCTTATATTATAACTTACCATGGCTAATTCTTGCAGATATATAGTCGTATATTTAAGTATATTTATTATATGCTAACTTATATGATTATTTACAATGAAATATGCACGTTATGGAATAAATCTCATATCATAGAATTACAAGGCATCAAAATTGATGGCTTGTTAGAAACAATCTAGAAACTCTGATCAGTGTTGTCAGATGAACAGGTAATAAACGGTAGTACCAACTTAGAGAAATAATTGTATCAGGATTTCAGAATTACCAAAATTTACTTCTTGATGTAGAGTAGTATATACTATGATTGACCAATCAGAATGAAGAAATGTTTGTCTCTTTTCTCCTGATTGGTCAATCAGACATTGCTCTACTCCAAAAGATAAATTTTGGAACGCAACGCAGTTTGAGAAATGATTTATAGAAACCATAGACATAGTATATCTAGACCGAGCGTTTGCCTTTATTTAAGGAGCGGGGGCCGATGCCCACGTAGAAAAGGACATACTCTGTTTTGTGCCCCTTGCGTTCTCTCTCCTGATTGGTCAATCAAACATTGCTCTACTCCAAAAGATAAATTTTGGAACGCAACGCAGTTTGACAAATGATTTATAGAAACCATAGACATAGTATATCTAGACCGAGCATTTGCTTTTATTTAAGGAGTGGGGGCCGATGCCCACGTAGAAAAGGACATACTCTGTTTCGTGCCCCTTGCGTTCTCTCTCGCTCGCACAGAGCATAGCGCTCTCTTTCGTCATGCTACGCTCTAGATATACTATATCTATGATAGAAACAGAGAGAAGCTTGAAGCCCATAGTATATCAGACTACGTATTGAAGATTGAAATTTGACCAATCAGGATAAAAGGAACTAAAATTTTCTTGTCCTGATTGGTCAAATTTCAATCTCAATGCATAACTGCATAATGTCTGATACGGGCTTAAGAGAGGCCACGCCGCCGTTTTTCGAGAGACGCTTTTTCTAGTTGATGCAGTAGCGCCAACTAGATCCATTTTAGAACCGGCGGAATTACATGGCCAGATTCACTTTTCAATGCCATGGTAAAACGGCCGGTTGGTGCGTGTCCGTGCTAAATGTATAATTGTGGATTAAAAATGCGAAGAAATATTATATTTATTTATTAATGTTTTATTAGCTGCGCGTGATGTCATTCTAGTATAGACTACAGCGATAATAAGTTATAATTTGAAGTATTTTTATGTATATGTGCATGTAAAATGAAATAAATTATCTTAAATTAATTTTCTTAATAATTTTTTTCCTAATTTTTAAATATAACGTGTAAAAGATATTTATAATAAATTGCTTTCACTTTTTTCTTATTCTTAAAACAAAAGTAATTAGATATGTATATGTATGACATTAATTTAAAAACGATTAAAGCTTCCTTTTCCCTACCCAGACAGCACAAAACGTCCTCAGGATCATCCTGAATATGTCCAGGATGGTTCAGGATATTTGTAGGATGTTTTAAGATATTATTATAAATATATTTTATGAAAATTTAATATGCATACATGATTACTTTCGGTTATGTAGGCTATTTAATATAATTTAGAAATTTTAAGTATTGTAATAAGTATTAATGTCCTATAAATGTCCCCTGGATAACCCCTGGATGTCTGCCCTGTCTATTATATTGAATGTCCTTTGGATTTCCCATTTTATTTAAAAATATTAATATAAAAATTATAGGCCGTGTTCCGATATTCACTGCCAATACTGAAAATCTATAGTGTATGTGATATAAGCTATAGATTTTCAGTACTGGCAATGAATATCGGAACACGGCCATAACTGGTAGTATATCTCTCTTAGTCTAACTCTTCCCCTTCGACCTGTCCGGCATGGGTGACCCTACCGGTAACTATTAGCTTTTCGAGTGAAGCAAGTTTGATCGCTTTGAGAGCAATTAAACCCAATTTATCATGAATATATGTTTGACCAAAAATAGATTTTGAGAGAATCTGATTAATATAAATAATATAAAGTACATTCCCCGTTTTTAACGCTATTTTGTCTTTAAAGTATAAGATTCTTTGCCCTGATTAATCAATCAAACGATTATTCAATTAAAGTATTCCATTGATTAATCTATATAATAATTCAAGTACCCCTAATAATCCAAAACGAAGTATATGATGTCATTAATCGGTCTTAGAACGATCGAACTTGCTTCACTCGAAAACACTATACGTTACCGCCGGCATAGCTCTCAGGTTCATTAGAGCACTCAAACCTCCTCCTCATTCATAGCTATTATCTCGCGTCACATGACAACCACACGATATACTTAATATTTACTTGTTTCTCCATAATTCCCCTTTCTATATTGGTTCGTTACACAGATCTATCTATCGATGCTTCCCAAAACCAGGTAGAACTTTAGTAAAACAGTGATATTTTTTATTTTTGCACTAAACTCAATTTTTAAATAATAATGATAAAGAGAACTGTGAGTGTAATATTATTGTACTTTACAATTTATAAGATTGTATAATAAGATATTATTAAAAGATAACTATATCTATTTTATTAGTAACATAAGATTATTTTAAAAAATATTCATAATTATTAATTTTTTAAATATCTTAGACAATCCTACGATCTAATATTGCACATTGATCATTTATACTTAAATCTTGTTATCTTATTATACATATAATATAATATATAATAAAAATATTGTTGATCTCTCTCTGTTTGATCATAGGAGTCGAAGTTATAGCAGCGTCTATAACATAACTAATATTTAATGCGGAATATTTTATATTCGATGCGTACAACGCTAATTGTAAGAAGCTCTATATAAATATGGAACAATTTTATAAATTATAAAAAGACTTTTTTTCACATAGAGATTTTTATAGGAATTATGTAAAAATCTTTCTTTTTAATTTTCTCTTGTTTAATTCATTCAAATAAAAAGATCGAATTAGTACGCGATTTTCAACAACTAGTATACAAATAATAAATATTCACCCTACGGTTGCTCCGCCGGTGCAGGATGCCTCTCCTAGGCCTCCTCCTCCTCTCAGAATGTCAGGGTCGCTACGTTGATCTGTAACATGCAAATAGAAGTTCCAAATTGTAGCAGCGCTCAAAATAATTAATATTTTTAAAAATGTATTATACGCATTGAATTTTATATCCGATGCAAATAATATGCAGATCATAATAAAATAATTTTGGAAATTTTGGAAAGAAACTCTACTAATAACTCTAATAATTTCATATAAAAGCTATAATCTAAAAGTAGAAACTTTTACATGATTATAGCTTCCATATAAATTGTAGCAGCGCTCAAAATAATTAATATTTTTAAAAATGTATTATACGCATTGAATTTTATATCCGATGCAAATAATATGTAGATCATAATAAAATAATTTTGGAAATTTTGGAAAGAAACTCTACTAATAACTCTAATAATTTCATATAAAAGCTATAATCTAAAAGTAGAAACTTTTACATGATTATAGCTTCCATATAAATTGTAGCAGCGCTCAAAATAATTAATATTTTTAAAAATGTATTATACGCATTGAATTTTATATCCGATGCAAATAATATGTAGATCATAATAAAATAATTTTGGAAATTTTGGAAAGAAACTCTACTAATAACTCTAATAATTTCATATAAAAGCTATAATCTAAAAGTAGAAACTTTTACATGATTATAGCTTCCATATAAATTGTAGCAGCGCTCAAAATAATTAATATTTTTAAAAATGTATTATACGCATTGAATTTTATATCCGATGCAAATAATATGTAGATCATAATAAAATAATTTTGGAAATTTTGGAAAGAAACTCTACTAATAACTCTAATAATTTCATATAAAAGCTATAATCTAAAAGTAGAAACTTTTACATGATTATAGCTTCCATATAAATTGTAGCAGCGCTCAAAATAATTAATATTTTTAAAAATGTATTATACGCATTGAATTTTATATCCGATGCAAATAATATGTAGATCATAATAAAATAATTTTGGAAATTTTGGAAAGAAACTCTACTAATAACTCTAATAATTTCATATAAAAGCTATAATCTAAAAGTAGAAACTTTTACATGATTATAGCTTCCATATAAATTGTAGCAGCGCTCAAAATAATTAATATTTTTAAAAATGTATTATACGCATTGAATTTTATATCCGATGCAAATAATATGTAGATCATAATAAAATAATTTTGGAAATTTTGGAAAGAAACTCTACTAATAACTCTAATAATTTCATATAAAAGCTATAATCTAAAAGTAGAAACTTTTACATGATTATAGCTTCCATATAAATTGTAGCAGCGCTCAAAATAATTAATATTTTTAAAAATGTATTATACGCATTGAATTTTATATCCGATGCAAATAATATGTAGATCATAATAAAATAATTTTGGAAATTTTGGAAAGAAACTCTACTAATAACTCTAATAATTTCATATAAAAGCTATAATCTAAAAGTAGAAACTTTTACATGATTATAGCTTCCATATAAATTGTAGCAGCGCTCAAAATAATTAATATTTTTAAAAATGTATTATACGCATTGAATTTTATATCCGATGCAAATAATATGTAGATCATAATAAAATAATTTTGGAAATTTTGGAAAGAAACTCTACTAATAACTCTAATAATTTCATATAAAAGCTATAATCTAAAAGTAGAAACTTTTACATGATTATAGCTTCCATATAAATTGTAGCAGCGCTCAAAATAATTAATATTTTTAAAAATGTATTATACGCATTGAATTTTATATCCGATGCAAATAATATGTAGATCATAATAAAATAATTTTGGAAATTTTGGAAAGAAACTCTACTAATAACTCTAATAATTTCATATAAAAGCTATAATCTAAAAGTAGAAACTTTTACATGATTATAGCTTCCATATAAATTGTAGCAGCGCTCAAAATAATTAATATTTTTAAAAATGTATTATACGCATTGAATTTTATATCCGATGCAAATAATATGTAGATCATAATAAAATAATTTTGGAAATTTTGGAAAGAAACTCTACTAATAACTCTAATAATTTCATATAAAAGCTATAATCTAAAAGTAGAAACTTTTACATGATTATAGCTTCCATATAAATTGTAGCAGCGCTCAAAATAATTAATATTTTTAAAAATGTATTATACGCATTGAATTTTATATCCGATG